GGACCGTCAGAAAACGACTCAGGATGAAAAACCAGTCCTAGGGAAAGGGTCCAGACCTCTGGGGGTCGATGTTGTCAAAAAATCACGGCGTCGGGGATCTGGGAAACCGGAGCAGCCGGTTTTGGACCATTTTCGTTTTCTGGGGGGCCTCGACGGGCCCCAGGACCGCCAAGGAACGTCTCGGAATGAAAATTATCCTGGCGAAAGACCCAACCATATGCAGTTGTGAGTGCCGCAATTGTGAATACCTTCTTCGGTGGCGCTCCCTATGGGGCCACGAACCGCATGAGGGGTATGCCGAAATATGGCGGGGTACACAACGCAAAGGAATACGATAGGTCAGATTACGAAAGAATGAACGCGGGTGAGCCAGAGCGCGAGAGAGTCTGAGTGTGAATGGGTCTGCGTGGGAGTGAGTATATTTGCATGAATGCGATCTTGGCTACGCCTAGTGTAATAAAAGTATATGAATGTGAATGGCTCGAGCACGCCTGTCCGAACACTCGTGACACTGGGCGTGGCCGCCGCAGGCAGCTTCCGCGGGAACCCCGACGGCAGCGCCCGCGCGCCGCGACGCCCATGTCGGCACGCCCCCCACGGGGATCGCACCCGCTTCCGCCCCTTCTTTTCCCCCCTCTTTGCCTGCGCGCTCCAAAAATCCAAAGCTGCGGGCGCAGAGCAGCGCGGAGTCCCCGCGACGCGCGCAGGTCGCCGCGGAGGGGTCCCAGCGACGCGCGCAGGTCGTCCGCTGCGCGGAGCACAGAGAGCTAGCCGGCCGGCTGATTGCGGGCAAGGCTCCGGCCGCTGGGCAGAGCGACGACGGGCGAGCGAGGCGCTGAGCAGAGCGCCGCGCGGAATCCCCGCGACGCGCGCTGGTCGCCCCGAGAGGGTCCCAGCGACGCGCGCGGGTCGTCCGCGGCGCGAGGCCGAACAATTATGCGGGCAGTCGAGAGAAGGCGCGGCTCGGGGGGGGCGCTCCTCAGGTCAGGCCTCGCGGATAAACTCGGTGAAGCCGAGCTCCCTGGCGAGGGCCGTCGCCTCCCTCCTGCACCGCTTCGTGCGCGCTGCAAACTGCTCCAGCTGCTTTCGCAGGCCCTCCGGCGGTCCTGCCAGGAAGAACTCGATGCGCGGCGCCCGCATGAGCAGGAGGTCCTCGTGGCGCGTGGCGCGCGAGAGCAGCACATAGAGCTCCAGCCACCAGTCGTCGTCCTCCTTCTTGCCGTTCCCGACCTCGTGGCGGCCGCAGGCCAAAAAGGGGCGGTGGCGCCATGCGAGCTGCGCCACTTGGACCTCAGGTGGAGCTCCCTGAGGGGCCACGAAATCTGTGAGGGGTGTGCCAAAATGGGGCGGTGGCGCCATGCGAGCTGCGCCACTTGGACCGTAAATGGAGCTCCCTATGGGGCCACGAAACGTGTGAGGGGTGTGCCAAAAAGGGACGGTGGCGCCATGCGAGCTGCGCCACGTGGACCTTAGGTGGAGCTCCCTATGGGGCCACGAAACGTGTGAGGGGTGTGCCAAAAGGAGTTCCCTGGGGGGGCACGAAATTTGTGAGAGGTGTGCCAAAATGGGGCGGTGGCGCCATGCGAGCTGCGCCACTCGAACCTCAGGTGGAGCTCCCTGAGGGGCCACGAAACGTGTGAGGGGTATGCCAAAATGGAACGGTGGCGCCATGCGAGCTGCGCCACTTGGACCGTAAATGGAGCTCCCTATGGGGCCACGAAACGTGTGAGGGGTGTGCCAAAAAGGGACGGTGGCGCCATGCGAGCTGCGCCACGTGGACCTTAGGTGGAGCTCCCTATGGGGCCACGAAACGTGTGAGGGGTGTGCCAAAAGGAGCTCCCTGAGGGGCCACGAAATCTGTGAGGGGTGTGCCAAAATGGGGCGGTGGCGCCATGCGAGCTGCGCCACTTGGACCTCAGGTGGAGCTCCCTGAGGGGCCACGAAACGTGTGAGGGGTGTGCCAAAATGGGGCGGTGGCGCCATGCGAGCTGCGCCACTTGGACCGTAAATGGAGCTCCCTATGGGGCCACGAAACGTGTGAGGGGTGTGCCAAAATGGGCGTGCGGGACGCATGCGAGCACACCCACTGGGACCTTCGGTGGAGCTCCGTATGTGATGTTGATGCTGATGACGATGATGATGATAATGATGATGATAATAATGATGATGATGACGATGATGATGATGATGATGATGATGATGATGATGATGATGATGATGATGATGATGATGATGATGATGATGATGATGATGATGACGATGAGGATGATAGGAGGGGAGAGGAGGCGGAGGAGGAGAGGAGGAAGGAGACGCGGGGCACCGTCTCTTCAAAACGAGGACCCAACACCACAGGATGGTTGGGAAAAATTGCTCTAGTGAAGCTGTCCAGACCTCTGGGCGCCCACGCATCGGGAAGACTGCAGCGCTGGATGTCCGGGTTCACAGCGTCAGGTGTAAGACCACGACCCACCGTCGTGGACGAGCAGCTGCAGACCAGTGGAACAACCAAGGGGGGTGAACAGGCAAGTGGAAAAAGAGAGAGAGAGAGAGACAGAGAGAGGGAGAGAGAAAGAGACAAAGGACAGACCAAGCCTCGAGGCAAGTTCTGTGCCGTGTGCGCTCGCGCCTGGAAGGAGAAGTGGCGGCACGAGCACACGCTGTCGGAGGTCCGCTCGGAGTTCGGTTCCAGACGAGCTCGCGCCGTGAAAAACGACCACGACGGCAAATTTCTCGCCGTGTCTGGCCCCTGGGGGCTCTCGCCAGGCCCTCGGGGGCCGTCAGAAGTACAACGGCTCGGGACGAAAGACAGGCCCTGGGGAAGTGCTCGGGACTTTCGCACAGGAAAGCAAAACGCTATAACCATGCACTTTTGAAGGTCCGCGCGGATGTCTTGGATCGGCGCTGGCGCCCAGGGGCCCGGCACCGCTGGGAGGGGCCCAGACGCCGATCCAAGAGATCCGCGCGGAGCTCCGAGAAATCATGATTATGCCTCATTTGTTCTTCGGTTCTGGGGACCCCGTGTTGAGAAGACACAAAACATTGAATGTCTGGGCTTGAGTCGGCGCTGGACGCTCCCTCCCTGGCGCGCGGACTGCGCCCGCGCTAGGGTGCCGCCCGGGGAGGGGGGGTCCAGCGCCGATCCAAAAAGCCCACGCGGACCTCCGACAGCTCACAGTCATCGTGGTTGACGCACGAACAACACACACACACACACACACACCTATGGGAGGGACGTAAGGGGCTATGGGTGCGTGTTGTCGGATGGGGGTCCCCGCTCGAACAAAAGCCCCCCCCCGAGGGTCCGACAACCCGCTCCCATGCCCATAGCCAGCCCTCCTCCCTCCGACACCCCCTATGGTTATGGGTGTGTGTGTGTGTCTTGTTCGTCATTGCTACCTCCAGGAGCACTGCACAGGGAGCGAAGGGGGCTCTTCTGGCCATGGCAGGCCTCGGCCACGAACAAGCTGCCCGACCTGGAGCAGAGGCACGGCCCGAGAAGCAGAGCCCCCCCTGGACCCGAGCGGTCCTGTCGGCGTCTTGGCTGCGGCGGCGCCTCTCTCGCCGCATGGATCCGTGGGGGTCCCAGGGCCCGGACGCTACATCTCGTGGCCCCCGAGGTGCGGAACGGCAGCCCCCTCGCGGCCTCGAGGGGGGGCGGGGGGGAGAGGAGCGGAGCGGGCGGAGCGGAGAGGGCGCCCTCACCGCCCGATGGGGCAGTCGTCACATCGAGATAGGGGAGGAGGAGGAGGAGGAGGAGGAGGAGGAGGAGGAGGAGGAGGCGGAGGAGGAGAGGAGAGAAGGAGGGGGAGGGGGGAGGAGGAGAAGAGAGGGGGAGAAGGAGGGAGGAGGAGGAGGAGGAGGAGGAGGAGGAGGAGAGAGGAGGAGGGAGGAGGAGGAGGAGGAGAAGGAGGAGGAGGAGGAGAAGAGGAGGAGGAGGAGGACCAGTGTACACCCAAGAGTCACCAACGACGATCTTTAGATAAACCCTCCCTCAAAGCTCCATCTTCATAGGCCCCATACAACGGGTCAATTCCACTGACGGAACTGCCTCGTTGGAAGACAACTGTTTGAAGACCCTGAAGCATGCCAAAAACATTATTCTCAGGACTCCAACGCCACGGATCAACCTGACTGTTGCGTCCTGACGATCCTGAATCGTGCCAGAACGCCATTCCTGGGACTCCAACACCGCGACTCAACGTAATTGATGCACCCTCATAATCCTGAATATGTCCTAAACACCATGCCTGGTACGTTGGCCATGGGAAGCCATAAAACTCTTGCAACTGTCAAAAGGGACTGTACGCGGCGCTGAAGCGAGAGCCACATTGTGAAAACGAACCACCCTCAATCCGCGCCAAACTGATGCAAAGTTATTAAGCGAATGCGCGCGGCGCTGAAGCGAGAGCCACTTTTTGAAAACGAAACGCCCCAATATGTGAAACTCTTGCAACAAATAAAAGAGAATGTGCGCGACGCTAAAGCGAGAGCCACATGTTGAAAACCATCCGCCTTCAATATGTGAAACTCTTGCGAATGTTTAGAACGAATGTGCGCGGCGCTTAGACAAGAGCCACATTTTGAAAGCGACCCGCCCTCCATGTGTGAAACTGCTGCCAATTGTGCAGCTTCAGGTTCATAAATGGTGAAGAAGCCTCAGGCGAAACGCCCGGACCGCCCTTTCGACCGTCCTCGGGGTTCGACACAAGAAGGAAAAAATAAAGAAGGAGGAGGAGGAGGCAGAGGAGGAGGGGGAGGAGGAGTAGGAGGAGGATGGGGGGAAGGGGAGGAGGAGGAGGAGGAGGAGGAGGAGGAGGAGGAGGAGGAGGAGGAGGAGGAGGAGAAGGAGGAGGAGGAGGAGAGGAAGAGAAGAAGAAGGAGGAGGAGTGGAAGTAGGAAGAGGAGGGGCCTGAGCAGGAGGGGGACGACGCCCTGAGTGAAAAGGTTGCGATGCCCCATCTCCGGGTGTGCTTGCGGAGCACGCTTTGCCACCCGAGCGCCCGCTGGCGCCCGAGCCCAGCCCCGAGAACGCGGCCAGGTACCTGGAGGCCTCCAGGATGGGGTCCGAGTAGATTTAGGGTGTTGCCGGAAAATCCCCTGGCCACAGGTACCCCAAGGATTTCCAGGGCGGCCACCAAGGCCTCCAGAGCACCCCTCACGAGGCCCCTAAGGCCCCAGGGGATCCAAAATGGAGCGAAAAGCTGGGGGCACCTTGGGCCAGCGGCACTCTTAGCAACCCCCTTAGATTGGGACTAAGGATCGCGCCGCATCGCCTAGACATCGCCGATGCATCGCCGATGCATCGCCATCGTATCGGCGAAGTCGGCGATGCATCGGCGCCGACTGCATGAGGAAAATCTGGCTTCGCATCGAGCCGCTTCGGCGATGCGGCGCGATCCTCCGTCGTCGTGATTTTTTCACACCGTCGACCCCCAGAAGCCTGGACCCCTTCCTTGGGACCGAAACGCTTTGATGACTGTCCCGGAGCCCGGTAAGGGCCCCTGGAGGCCGAGAATAGCGAAAACCCTCCAATGGTATCTTGTTGCAGCGCGAGGGGGTTCCGACCCCATCCACTCGGACCTTAGCCGCCCCGATACGCAACACGCAATCCGTAGCGCGCTGGCCCTGAAGAAGGAACCCTTTTGGTTGGGGAGGGGCTCCGCGTTCCTTAAGTGGTTCACAGCTCGCCTCAGGTGTTCCTCATGTTTTCGATCGGAAATCGAAGTTTAACTTATGGAAAGCAAGGGGCCTCGTTCCTTAATTTAGGGTTCCTTAGGTCAACGCCCCGAGGCGCGGAGCCCTCGCCAAAGCACGTGGGCCGACGCGCGGAGCCGACACGCCGCGCGCTGACACGCACGTCTGGAACACAGCACGCGCTGCGCCTCGAAGCGGGCGCATCGGGGCAGCTAAGGTTAAGTCGGGCCTGTCCCCCTGCAGGGGGATCTTCGACGAAGAATATTAATGCCCAAAAAATAATCGACAAATAATACAAAAATTAGTCTGGGGATTATTCCCAACCATCCTGTGGTGTTGGGTCCTCGTTTTGAAGAGACGGTGCCCCGCGTCTCTCCTCCTTCCTTCATTCCTCCTCCACCTCCTCCCTCCTTCCTCCTCCCTCCTCCCTCCCCCCCCTCCTCCCTCCTCCCCCTCCTTGCCTTTGCTCTCGGCACACCTCTCACACGCTTCGTAGCCCCATAGGGAGCTCCACCGAAGGTCCCAGTGGCACAGCCCGCGTGCGTCCGCCACACCCAGCACGGCGTTTCGTGGCCCCATGGGGAGCTCTACCGAAGGCCCCAGTGGGGGGGGGCGCATGCGTCCGCCACACCCAGCACGGCGTTTCGTGGCCCCATAGGGAGCTCCACCGAAGGCCCCAGTGGGGGGGGGGGGGCGCATGCGTCCGCCACACCCAGCACAGCGCTTCGTGGCCCATAGGGAGCTGCACCGAATGCGTTGCTCACAAAGACGGTACATACAACTGCATATGGTTGGGTCCTTCGCCAGGCTAATTTTTGTTTTAGTACTTTTTGACATTCTTGGGGGAGTTTGGATTGTTTGTATTGTTTTTGGTCGAAAATCCCCCTGTATGGGGGAGCTAAGGACTCGGACCCCACTTGGGAGGCCCAGCACCTCAGCGGCAGGCCCGCCTCCATCGCCCAGCGGACCCAGCCGTCCGGCGACAGCCCCTCCGCCGGCACGCCCAGCGCCTCCGCGAGGCCCGCGAGCTCCGCCAGCGACGCCGCGGGCGGCAGTCCGGACACGACGCGGCCGAGGCCGAGCGCGACGGCCTCACTGGGCAGATTTTAAAACATCGGATGTCTAAACAGATGGGATCTTCAATTCATGATTACAGTCGGGGCGTTGACCTGAGGAACCCTGAACAAGGAGCGAGGCCCCTTTTCTTCAAGAAGTAAAACTTCGATCTCCCATTGAAAACCAAGGGAAAACCCAGGGCAAGCTGCGAAGCAATCAAGGAACACGGAGCCCCTCCCCAACGAAAAGGGTTCCTCGCTTAGCGCCCCGACTGCAATGTATGAATAAATATATGCACGAACTCGCCGCTGTCTTTAATGTCAAATCCCTAAAGTTATGATACGTGACCCGCACGCCGAGCATGTGTTTTTTATGTATAAATATATGTATGTGTATGTCAATGTTTTACAATACTATATACCTATATGTATATAACAAAACAACAACAACAACAACAACAACAACAACAACAACAACAACAACAACAATCACTTTACCCGAACGCTCAGTGTTCTCACCAGTGCCAGGGTTTTCATGCGACGCCAGCCAATACCCCCACTTTGTGGGGGGGCAGTGCAAGCTCTACCAAATATCCACACGACTCTTCGCCACCACCCACACCCAGCTTCCCGCCCTATGACGTTCGGACACTTCACTTCGTGGCCTGCGGACGACCGTGGCTACTACACTGGCGTGGAGTACACACCCACAGAAGTTGTTAAGCCTACGTTCGTACACCCACAGAAGTTGTTAAGCCTTGTTAACCCACAGAAGTTGTTAAGCCTTCCACAGAACATCTGTTGCATATGATGCATATGGTACATGATACACATGATACACATGATACGTACTCACAAGATAGTTGATCACATCTTTAGGGCAAATTCCTGAGGGATGTGGGAATACACAAGAGAGAGAGGATATGGTTGTCCCGATGGTTGTCTCGATGGTTGTCCCGATGGTTGTCCTGATGGTTGTGGTTGTCCCGATCGTTGTCCCGATGATTGTCCCGATGGTTGTCCTGATGGTTGTGCTTGTCCCGATCGTTGTCCCGATGACTGTCCCGATGATTGTCCCGATGGTTGTCCCGATGGTTGTTCCGATGGTTGTCCCGATGGTTGTCCCGATGGTTGTGAGCGATGCCGGATCCTCACGCCCCCCGCCGGAGGAGGAGGAGGAGGAGGAGCAGGACAAGGAGGAAAGGAGAGAAGAGAGAACGGAAGGAGGGGCGGGAACGGCGCTTGCACGCCCACCCACCGTCTTTTCCCCGCCGCGGCTCTAAAGAGACGAGTTCGTGCGCTCGTCATCTTAAGATGCCCAATGGTATTATGATGCGCGGTGCTGAAATTCTTAAGAAGCCCAATGGTTTTTGGAGATTTCGGCGTGCGCGCGCGAAGAAAAAACGAATGTGTCCCGCATGGTATTATTTGACAGGGATGATGGCCCTGGCAGGTGCGCAACCGTTGTCGCAGAAGTTCGAAAAAGTTGCTCGCAAAAGCCCGTTTGACAGAAATGTTTAAAAAGTGTTGGGTTTCCTACGAATCCGCAAGAGCGCGCGGGATGAGATTTTGACATTTTTTTGTTGAAAAACCATTAGTTTTTTGATGTTTTTATGTTGAAATCGCTCCGAACACTAAGCTTTTGGAAGGATTTCGTCTTGCGCGCGCGAATGTCCACTTTACCTTATTTTTTGCAAGGGATTCTTGAAATTTGATTATATTAGAACAAGAAATGTCATTTTATAGTGTTTTTTGCAAGGGAAAGCGGGGGGGAACAAAACAACCGGATCTTGATCACATCGAATTACCTGAGGCTTCCTCACGAAAATGATGAAAATGTAGCTGCGGCCTAAGCGGCGCAGGGGGGCCGTGCACCAGGGGCCCCAACAATAATTATTCTTTAGAATTAATAATGTTCAACAACAACAACAACAACAACAACAACAACAACAACAACAACAACGCAAGGACACTCTCTCAGGCCACCCCGGCGGGGCCCGTGGGTGTGTCCTCGCCCCCGGGGCGAGCGCACTGCCCCAGGCCACACGTTGCAGTTGTTGCCCCTGGGGGGGGGAGCAACGCGCAACACCTCTGTCATACGCTAACGTAAATCTATATGTGTTTCCGAATCTCCGTTGGCTCCCTCACTGTTCCCCACGCACTCCTGTGTCCGAAAACCGACCACGCGCCAGCGAGGCCAACTCCTCCTCCTCATAGGACTCCTATGGAATCGCGCAGGACCCTGTAAGCATCCTATAGGATCCCTATAGGACTCCTATGGAATCGTGTAGGACCCTGTAAGGATCCTATAGGAACCCTCAAGGGATCCTATGGAAACGTGCAGGACCGTGTAAGGATCCTACAGGATCCCTCCCAGGTTCCTATGGAATCGTGCAGGACCCTGTAAGGATCCTATAGGATCCCTATAGGCTTCCCATAGAATCGTGCAGGGCCCTGTAAGGATCCTATAGGATCCCTCTAGGGTTCCTATGGAATCGTGCAGGACCCTGTAAGGATCCTAGAGGATCCCTCTACGGTTCCTATGGAATCGTGCAAGACCCTGTAAGGATCCTATAGGACCCCTCTAGGGTTCCTATGGAATCATGCAGGACCCTGTAAGGATCCTATAGGTTCCTCTTCTATAGGACTCCGATGGAATCGTGCAGGACCCTGTAAGGATCCGAAAGGATCCCTATAAGGTTCCTATGGAATCGTGCAGGACCCTGTAAGGATCCAATAAGATCCCTCTACGGTTCTTATGCAATCGTGCAGGATCCTGTAAGGATCCTATAGGATCCTTATAGGCTTCCCATAGAATCGTGCAGGACCCCGTAAGGATCCTATAAGATCCCTAAAGGTTTCCGATGGAATCCTGCAGGGCCCTGTGAGGATCCTATAGGACCCTTATGAAGGGTCCGATGGAACCCTGTAGGACCCTGTAAGGATCCGAAAGGATCCCTATAAGGTTCCTATAGACTCGTGCAGGACCCTGTAAGGATCCTATAGGATCCCTCCAGGGTTCCTATGGAATCGTGCAGGACCCTGTAAGGATCCAATAAGATCCCTCTAGGGTTCTTATGGAATCGTGCAGGACCCTGTAAGGATCCTATAGGATCCCTATAGGCTTCCCATAGAATCGTGCAGGACCCCGTAGGGATCCTATAGGATCCCTCTAAGGTTCCAATGGGAACCTGCTGGGCCCTGTCAGGATCCTAGAGGACCCTCGAGGGTTCCGATGGAATCGTGCAGGACCCTGTAAGGATCCTATAGGATCCCTATAGGGTTCCTTATGGGAACGTGCAGGACTGTGTAAGGATCCTATGGGATCCCTCTGAGGTTCCGATGGAATCGTGCAAGACCCTGTAGGGATCCTATAGATTCCTCCTTATAGTACTCCTATGGAATCATGTAGGACCTGTAAGGATCCTATAGGATTCCTTTAGGACTCCTACAGGATTCCTATGGAATCGTGCACGACCCTGCACGGACCCTATAGGATCCCTATCGGATTCCGATGGAACTGTGCAGGACCCTGTAAGGATCCTATAGGATCCCTCTAGGGTTCCTATAGAATCGTGCAGGACCCTGTAAGGATCCTATAGGATCCCCATAGAGTTCCGCTGGAATCCTGCAGGGCTCTGTGAGGATCCTATCGGATCCCTATAGGGTTCCCATGGAATCCTGTAGGACCCTGTAAGGATCCTATAAGACCCCTATAGGATTCTTTTGGAATCGTGCAGGACCCTGTACGGATCCTATAGGAGCCCTATTGGGTTCCTATGGGATCGTGCAGGACCCTGTAAGGATCCAATAGGATCCCTATAGGCTTCCCATAGAATCGTGCAGGGCCCTGTAAGGATCCTATCGGATCCCTCGAGGGTTCCTATGGAAACCTGCTGGACCCTGTAAGGATCCTATAGGATCCCTCTAGGGTTCCTGTGGAATCGCGCAGGACCCTGTAAGGATCCTATAAGATCCCTCTACGGTTCCGATGGAATCGCGCAGGACCCTGTAAGGATCCTATAGGATCCCTCCAGGGTTCCTATGGAATCGTGCAGGACTCTGTAAGGATCCGATGGGATCCCTATAGGGTGTTCCCATGGAATCGTGCAGGACCCTGTAAGGATCCTATAGGTTCCTCCTTATACGACTCCGATGGAATCGCGCAGGACCCTGTAAGGATCCTATAGGTTCCTCCTTATGGGACTCCGATGGAGTCGTGCAGGACCCTGTAAGGATCCTGTAGGATCCCTATCGGATTCCGATGGAACCGTGCAGGACCCTGTAAGGATCCTATAGGCTCCCTCTACGGTTCCGATGGAATCGTGCAGGACCCTGCAGAGGGGTGTGCCAAAATGATCCTCGAGAGGGGTGTGCCATAATGAAGCCTCTGAGGAGCTCTCTGTGGAGCCAGGGCCACGATCCTCGAGAGGGGTGTGCCGAAATAAAGCCTCGGTGGAGCTCCGTGTGGGGCCAGGGCCACGATCCGTGAGAGGGGCGCGCCGAAATCAAGCTTCGGTGGAGCTCCCTGCGGGGCCAGGGCCACGATCCTCGAGAGGGGTGTGCCGAAATGGAGCCTCGGTGGAGCCCCCTGTGGGGCCAGGGCCACGATCCGTGAGAGGGGCGCGCCGAAACCAAGCTTCGGTGGAGCTCACTGAGCCACGATCCTCGAGAGGGGTGTGCCCAAATCAAACCTCGGTGGAGCTCCCTGTGGGGCCAGGGCCACGATCCGTGAGAGGGGTGCGCCCTTTGGGGCCTGTATGGGGCTCCGCAGCAGTCCCGAAAGGACCTGCCGAGCAACGCCGCCGGGCCCTGCACACCCCCGCAGCGGCCTGGCGAGGCCTCGTGGCATTGCTCGGACCAGGGGCCCTGCAGGGCCCGTGCGTGGCCCCGTGGTGTTGCTCGGGGGGGGGGGGAGGGTCGAGCAACGGGCCTCCAGTAGTGTCCTCGCGAACAACAACAACAACAACAACAACAACAACAACAACAACAACAACAACAACAACAACAACAACAACAACAACAACAACAACAAC